ATATAGTCTTATAAGCAATACTATACCGTTTTCATCAAGAAATATGTCTATCCAGCGAATGAAATACTTTAATTTATTATCGGTAAAAACAAAAAACATCGAAAAGGCATGTGATGTTTTAAAATATATGGCTTGTTTACCTCAAGAGCTTCGAGAAAAGACATGAAAATAACAGCGAAACCGTGTACAAATCAGCGCGCGACAGGGGAAACGTAGGGAAACTGAATTGCCCGGAACACCGGTACACGCAGTAGGGGAAACAGTGGGAATGAGTCAAGGTGTGCCCCACTCTGGACGCACAGTGAAACTACATGCCACAATATGCAAGGAACAAGGAAGTAATTTATATAATAATATTAGACATCGCAGAAGACTTACATAATTACGCAACCATTGGCTATAACGTGTGGAATGAGTTACCATATATTTTCAGTCTATTTTCTATTTTGGATCCTCTCCGGTTTCGCCGGTTTACATTGAAAGATGGCGTCACAGGGGAGTGACTCTTACTACACAATGTCGTGAAATGTCTCCGCCCGTGACTCAGACGCGGAGAAACGCCGGAATTCCCCTCCCCCCTCCTCTCCGCTCACTGGTGCCGCAGCCGCTTCCTTTCCTTTAAGAGGTCCGAGTCAAAACAGAAGCGCAGCGAGTCAGAAAAGCGACACAAGAGATCCTTTCCCACGAACGACAGATCACGTTACAGGTAAAGAAAAAAACTATTTAGGATTAAAAAATATTATGTTTAATTATAACAACATTCCCGGAAACAGGAAACAGCGTGCGGGTGTCACACTGCTCGGGCTAATTATAGTTTGTTGCGTGTAGAGCTCATAACGAACGATTTTATCTCGTTCTAGGATCACGAAATAGTAAAAATGAATGTGTGTATCCATTTTAGCTCTAGCTTTAGAAATGATTAATTAAACTTTAATAATAACAACCAGAAGTGCGTCGATCATTCTCCGACTTTTACTCTGTGGCCTTTCTTTTTTCTTTGTATATTAACCAATGGATTGTATAAATTAGTAATGAATTAAGGTATAGCTCGATTTTGGGCAGAAGTTCGTGTTTTGATGGAAATGCCCTTTCAGGTTCCGTAAAAGAGCGCTGCGCACGCTGCCTTTGCGGGAGCGCGTCGACTAGCACTCGGGCGCCCACGGAAGATGTACGGAGTTCCCGGAATGCCCGACCTCCTGCAACCGGCTGGCCCTTTCCAAGATGGACCGGCCCGGTACGCCCAGGATATGGGAGATAACTACAGTTGGAACCCTTTTAGACACGACTCCCCTCCGGTCAGGCTTCACCGTCGTGCTCCGAAACTGGGTCAGATCGGACGCTCCAAGAAAGGTGAGTGACTGTGCTCAACACGCTCAACAGATAATTTCATTTAGTGCGTTTAGGTAGCTTTTTCCATTTTGCACCTTTGGTGATATTTATCACCTCGTTTGAGTAAGAAAGCTCTTACTTCCGGCGCTGAACAACACATACGCCTACTGTTTCCTTAGCTGAAATCAGTAGGCTAGTAGCTAAATGTCATATGGCTGACAGTTAACTTGCATTGTGTTTTTACTGGTTTATTGTGTAACTATTAATCTTGTAAGTCATTCTCAAGTCTATTGTAAGTATTAAGTATATAATCGATGTCCGTTACATCTCTTCCCACAGTGGATATTGAAGATGAAAATTTGGACAACATGCTGAATGCCAGCTGCCACTTCCCGGTGCCGGTTTCACCTGTTGCCTAAACGTCGCCATCTGTGCCAAAGCTAAAAACGCCAAATTTAAAAATATCTATGTTGTTTTATAAGGACATCTTACATTTTCATAGCTTGTTTTTACACAAATTGCACAGCTGCTGATATTTGCTAGATCTTTGTGAATCAGAAGTAAATGTTTTGCTACTGGTACATTGGGCTGAATAAATTGTGATTCTGGGGTCACATATGAGGAATGTGTTGCCCTGCTCCAGCTGCTTTTTTCGGGGGGTGGGATCTGCAGTGCAGGTTATTTATTACCTTATATTAATGTTGGGGTCAAATTGACTCACAGTATAATCCTATTTTAAAACTTAAAACTTTTCAGACTTTTTTCTTCAGCCTGAACTATTGTGAGTTATGTAGGATAATAAACATGTAAATATAAAATAAAGCTTGCCATGTGTTTATCTTTAATGTAACATTTGTTTGCATTATGCATACAAAGATGTAATCTGGGGTTACTTTTCACCAAACAAATGTTACAAGATACCATAATGTTAAATTCTTCATGAGTTACAATTCAACCACTTCACTCGGGTCAGATCTGTAATGTGTAACTTGTGATTGTTGTCCTCGGTTTAGTTAATTTAACAGCAATATCAAAATATATATCAAATGTTGCATTTATACCCCAAATTGATAGCTTTTACTAGATGAAATGAAAAGAAAATATGTTAGAGGAATGAACAATGTATTGTGTCATATTAGATTATATTTGTATTCTCCAAATGGGGAATACATCTGGCTTTGGGTCCAGTCTGTTACCGCAGGCGATTATGCTGGTAGGATGATCATTTAAAGAGTTTTTGAAAAATACTTTGCAGGTGTCTAATCGCACCAAGATAATAGCACTTAGCAATGCTGCTAAGTGGCAGCAAAGGGAAGTATGACTGCAGAAGACACTTGACCGTGTGAATGTGGTAACTCAAAAAGTCTTTGATGGATCTTATTCCCACTTCACAAAACAATTATATGGATGAAGACAAATCACACCAAAATTATAGGAGCAGCGCTTGGTGGAAGTAAAGGAAGGAAGGGGGGCTGCAAGAGATACTTGGACTTGTGAACACAGTTCACTCTAAGTCTTTGAAGATTATTTTTAAAACTTCACAGGAACATTATTTAGGTGCTGATTTGGAGCCTATTTCTTTTTGAGACAAATCACAACAAAACTGCCTCATAGTGGTGGTAAATGAAGAGCAGTCTCCGATACAGATCTGGTGAACCTGATTACGTTGAGAGAACACTCTAAAAATGCTGGGTTAATTTTTTTTTTTACCCAAAGTATGAGTTGAGTCTACAGGGTAATTTTGCTGGGTTATTTTCAGTCCAAGCACCCAGTTCTGACCGAGCATTTCCGTTACTGACCCAAATGCAGGGTTATGTTTTTCCCCAGAATTTGGGTAACTGTACCCTTATTGTCATGGTAACCTATGTTCTCGGACATCATTTAAAAAATAATGGAATCCTTTGGGGACAAGCACCCAAACTCGTGGCATAGACGTAACAAGAAGAGTTGGTCTTTTTAAATTATGTTATAATAATAATTATAATAAAACATTCTTAGAATATTACAATAATACAAATAATACACTGTTCGGCCAAAAAACCGTCACACTTAAATTTTTTGTTGGACTGCTTTTAGCTTTATGGCGCACATTTGGCATGGCATTGTTTTCACAAGCTTTTGTAACATCTCAACATTTATCTCACAAATTTGCACGTGGTGAAAGGTCAAGTGACTGTATCGCAATGATTATAGTATCAGATGAAAAAGACAGCAGAGTTGGTGGTATGGGCACACTGCTGGTCCCATGTCAATAGCGTGTGGCAGTGATATGTTGTGGAAGAGAGTCATAAAGTCGCATCCTCTCCTGCGACAAGTCAGCCCAGAGCTGCAGTACCTGGCCCTCGTGATCCTGCAGATTGGCACTGGGTCTGAGTTGACGTCCAAGCTCATCCCACACGTTTTATTGGGGAAAGATCAGGGAACCTGGCTGGCCACAGTAGGACCTCAACATGATGCAGGCAGTTCATCGACTCACGAGCCTTGTGTGGACGGGTGTCGTCTTGTTGAAATATTAATGTCCAATACCTGTGTCTGGATGGCAGGTGCAGATGTCGGGTTCTGTAATGTTTGGCGCCCAATATGACAATCCTCCCTTGGTGTGGTCTGTCTTGGATGACCAGAACCTTCATGACGTGTGTGGGTGCCCTCATGTGCCCATTGGTCTGACTGTGACATATGCATGTCCCACATGCTGGGCAGTTGCACGATATGACCAGCCGGCCTCATGCAAACCCACAATGCGACCCCTATCAAACTCTGTCAAGTGCTGGTAATGCTGTCTAATGCATCTATGAGGTATCCTCTGTGTCTCGTGACTAGATGTGCCAGCTCCTTGCAAATGGAATCATTTACATACCCATCACTGGTCTGCATGTGTACCAAATCATAACCGAATCAGGCCATTATTTCTGGGTGCTTAATTTTTTTTTTGTAACTTAGTGTATTTTCATCCAGATTTACATCCATTTCTCATGGAGATCTTGTACTAATGACAGGGGTTGAACCACTCTGCAAAGTCGTCTTCAGCAAATCCCAAAGACTTTCAATGGGTTAAGGTCAAGAGTCTGTGGTGGCCAAATCAGGTGTGAAAATGATTCCTCATGCTCCTCAACCACTCTTTCACAATTTGAGCCCCATAAATCTTGGTATTCTTGTTCTGGAGTATGTCCATGCCATTAGAGAAGCAAATTCATGATGGATGGAGGGATAACAATAATCAATCCTTTATTGTCCCCATGGGGAAATTCTTTTTATACCTCCCTCAACTTGCTCTTTGTAGAGCAAGCTGTCCATGAAGGGCAGCCACCTGTTGTGGCGCCCAGGGAGCTGGGGGTTAAGGGCCTTGCTCAAGGACCCACAGACATGCTGAGGTTGGGTTTGAACCGGCAACCTTGTGATTGCAGGCACATAGACGTAGCCCACTGAGTCACACACTGGCCATTCTGTAGATTTAGGTACTCAGCTGACTTCACTTTATTGTTGCATAAAGTTGTTCAGCTGTAATAATGATCCAGTCAGTGTATAAACATTATTACAATTAATTGCACTTGAGAAAATGTTCATATTAATAATAGCAACTCCACATTTTTTAAAGAAAAACAATACTTTATTAAAATTGTTTACAAGTTATATCAACTAGAAGAAAATGCAAAAAATGACACATGCAGCCAGGTAGGAGTTTCTCAGTGTAAATTTATCAGAAACAAAAAAATCCGACCCAGGGAATTTCCAGTTGAGCTTCACAAGAAAAGAGTAAGGTTCACAGCATGAGACTAAAACAAAACACACGGTGTACCCAAAAAAACAGAATCTGACCACCAAGTGAGATAAGGTTGGACTTGCAACCTGGTCAGGCAGGTAAACACGTTTTCTGAGTCTTGGACAAAAATCAGCATGATGAAAATGACCAGACTGTCAAATACCATAAAAAGATTAGGCATATGATGTCCAGTGGAGCGTTTGAAGAATAAGCGGCATTTGAAGAATAAGCCATTGGGAATGACGACGACGATGATGAAGATCAGACAAGGGATGGCACTACATTTCTGATGGATTAGGTGCCCCTCTGTATGGTACCATCACAGGGTACTCGAAGGCGGGGGGGGCGGAGGGGAAGCCTGCCAGATCATATTTAAGGAGGTGCATCCCACAACTCTGTGGCCAAAATTGAAAGGCACTTGTTTTTGTTCTCTTGAATGAAAGACCCCGTATACAATGCCTGTGTCAGTGTAATTCAGAGTGTGTCACACAGATACTGTAGGCACAGGAAAAGGAAAGCATGCAGTAGACAGAGCTGAGGGTATTTCTCTAAGGGGTCTTACTTCTTTCTTTATTCAGAACAACACAATAGAGCAAAGGGGGGAAAAAACTTCAGGTAAGCAAAACCTAAATATTTATTATGAGAAAACTGAAGTATGTCCAAAATACAGTTTTTAATATTCAGAGGTAAGGTAAACTTTCTTTTTTTTTGTTCCTTTGTATTGGCAAGGTAGCTTTTCATGTGGTACCAGGGAGGGGCTAAGGGAAGGAAATGAAGAGGCCATCAGGGGGCGCTCACACATACTCCTTGGTGCTGCTAGGTGGATGGGGGGAGGCTTTGGAGGGGTATTTGGACACCTGCTTGCTCCTGGGACATGATGCGGCCAGCATAGCCCCCCCCAGGATGTCCAGAAAGGAGCCTGCCCAGGCAATGAAGATGGCTGCTCCAAACTCAAACCTCCGGGGGGAGAGAGAGTATGTATTATACATATTACAACATGTATGATGCATTAAAATATACACAAGGCCCTCTGTATAACAATTAATATGGGGCATAGACGAGCTGCAGTGAAATCTAACATACAGTTCCCTGTCATGCTCATTATTCATACCGTCCCTGAAAAACTCAAATAACAACATTGCACTTAGGTAGGATACAGTCCAGTGTTCATCCTACCACACATATACTTCCAAGGATAGGCCACAGATCACCAGAGAGTGCTTAGTACAAGTGGATGGATGGATGGATGGATGGATATGTGATTTTATTTTAATCTACTGATGTGTTAATTCAGGAGGTTTTACACAGCTCAGCAATTTTTATAACTAGCCATTTAATTCTTTGAAAAAAGACACACCTTTGGAACCCTAATGAGACTTGAATTTATCAATTATAATTCCTTAATCACTATTCCCCCTGCTGACCCTATAATATTCACTATAACAAAGGTAGATAAGAACCATCTTAAACAAAAATGTGCCTTTATGTGTATAGGTGCAGAACACACAGAATTTCAAACCTACTTTGTGTTGACGGGAGTGAAGGGGTTGTAAAAGGCACGGATGACGTTGTGGGCGAACCAGGAGCACGCGACTATCGCACACAGAGCTGAAGAAGAGGTGCAAAGAAGAGCAGCCATTACTCAGCATGCATGATGACCTGTTTTTTGTCATCTTCTGATCAAAAGATGCAGTCTTTAATTTTACAGTGCTCAATAGTCCCCTTGCAACTTTGAAACAGTTGCAGTCCCTTCACTGACCCCTAAAGGACTCGGTTGGTAATATGCCAGCTCTAATAACTTGGTTTATTATACAGGCTTTCATATAGTACTTGCTCTATGTGTTTGTTGAGCATGATCTGCCCACCACCTGGGGTCCCACTGTGCACTTACCCCCCACCAGCAGGATAATGCCCCCCATCATGGCCACACGTGACTTCCTGACTTTGTCGTCCCCACCGCAGTTGGTGCACTTCATTCCCACGCAGGCCACGCCCAGGCCGGCGATGGAGACGATGATGCCCGCAATCATCAGGGCACGAGTTGCTTGTAGAGCGTCTATAAGATACAAACACTCAGACACATTAATGTAATCATAAGCCTGAAAGCTCTTTTAGGACATTTAGAAGGAATACATCCAAATGACATGCATTTAGAAAAATGGTGTCATCTAGTTCTTAGAGCACTTTGGGTTAAGACTTTTGCTTGAGAGTCCATATCATTTAGTCACTAACAGGAATTAAACCAGTAATGTTTGGATTACAGGCATGGTAGTCTAACCTGCTGAGCTACACACCATCCCCCTATAAAAGGTCCATAAAGATTTGAAAAGACTCTGTACTGTGAAAACATGAATTACACGGCATAAGTGAAAAGGCTGTAATGAGTACATGATGCAGAACAGACGAGCAAATGTTTCATGTATAGGCTGAGCTGCGGTTTATCCTTAAAGTGTACAGGTTTAACACTTTATTGAAAAATGACACCTCAAATTTGAAGATGATAAATGTATTGCTTTTGGACATTGTCACAGGCTTTGTGGCAGAGGAGTTCCACATGTGATTCAGGAAAACCAAGATTGTATTAATAAAATTAAACATAAAATGAGACTGAGGTTCCTTTAACCAACAGAAATTATAGACTAAAATAAAGCACTGCATACATAGTAGTGGCAAGAAAAAGACCAAAGACCACATGTGATCTATGCAAGCCCCCCCCCGCTCCCACGCACACACACACAGACCTGTATTCATATCTTTGTGGGGACTGCCCAGTCATTTCTATGGGCAAAACCCTAATTCCACTGATGACAACCATAACCTTACCCAAACAAAAGTCATTTTTGGCATTTTTAGTTTTTTGATTTTTAGTGTTTTATAAAATTGAAAAAAATTGTCCCCACAATATCAAAATAGCACGTTTTATACATTACATTTGGTCCCCATAATGTCACAATGTAATGTATACCTAGACCACCCCCACACACACACACAGTCCAATGAAGCAGCTTGCATTCCTTACCTGAGGAACATGGTTGGTGATCAATCACCATGGCAACACAACGGCACCCACCTCACCATCCTGCCCAGCACTCTGAGTCCCTGTGGCTCCACACACACACTGCTTACTGGCTCTTTTCAAAAGCTAGTTTCACCTAGTTTTTAAACTATGTAATTATTCATTATATCATTACCTGCTTTAGACTTAACGGTGTAAATAAATCAGCTCGAATTCAAATGAGGAGACAGCTTTACTGGAAGTTCACCCAACAGTCATAAAGGTCTTTTCTGTGAAACTGTCAAGATATTTTAGTGCTGTGCTGCAATAAAAGGAGCAGGGATTCTCCATCTGTCCCTCTGTGAATGAGGCTCAGTTGGGAATGCCATTTCGCCTCTGTCTGGCAAAGCTGGGGCTCTCAGGAAGTCTCCTCGTTTCATTGTGAGCACAGCAGTCGCAAAACCAGTTTGTACCAGTATGTCCCAGCACTCACAAACAAGTCCTCTCAGACAGGACGAAGAAGAGGCGGAAAAAAGGAGGAGGAAAGGGGAAATGATTACCAGCCTCCTTTTTGCATTCATGGAACACAAAAAGCTCTTTAAGTAGACAAGCTACATGGATCCTGTCCAGAATTTCTCGCTTTTTTCCTTTCTGCAAACATTCTTCATTCTTTCAATTCTTTCACCTGCAGTCAGGTGCAGATTAAACCAGTTCCAGCCTCTAAGAGGAAGTGGCCACAGCCATGTGATTTTCTTTACAGCCTCATGGTGGCGAGCGTGGTGGGGATGGGGGGGGGGGGGGGTTTTGGGCTGCAGACACCCAAGACCCTTCAGGCTAAAACACAATGTGGACTGTAATGCTCCCACTGAAGTAATGCTCCTTTCTGGGTTTAACAAAGTTCAAGTATCTAATCGCATCCATCTGCATACACATTATTTCAAGAATTTTATATTTCTGGTTTGTTTATTTGTTTTTTTTCCTTCTTTCACACATTTTGTTTACACAGAAACAGTGGGTAGAGCATACAGCACCAGTCGGGAGATAGAAGTCTGATTCAAACAGATTATGGTTGCTAAATATAGTCTGTTGTGTTTATTTCAGACAGATGCCAAATGATAATCCAATAACACCAAACTGCAGAAAATACCAACATGATAGGAGAATGTGAAATCAATCATCAGTAGGCTCACTGTAACCCAGGATTGCAGAAGCAGTTATGGAAAGATAAATGTGTTTTGCAAATAAAAGAAAGCTAAGTTGATTTCAAACAAAGACAAAACAAAACAAGAATGCACCAGCTGGTCTATCAAATATCAGTTGCTCTGAATACTGCTGCAATGAGTAGAAAGAACAACGTTTTATGGACGTCTATAGCCACGAGAATAGTCGGGTCAAGCTGAGAAAGTGCGCACACACAAGGGTGGGAGGCATAGAGGTAGTTCCACAGAAGGACGCAGCGACAGTAGATAGAAAAGTGATCAGTTCATTAATATTCATATATGGTTTTTAATTAGGATTCCAGGTACCTTTATTTTCTCAGCACAACAGCTTGTACAAAGTGACTTAGTGCATAAAATGCATGTTCATCAACAAACAGGGCAGATAAAATCAGGTACATACTTAATTATCAATTATAATTTAAGAAACAAAGGTATCACCTTGTTGTGTCAATTCAACTATCTATAATGCCCAGTTAACAGTTATCCAGTTGACAACAGCAGGAGTTTGTCAAGCTTTAGATATGACCTCGCATAGATAGACTGTTCACAAGGCACTGCTTCCATCAACACTCCTGATAGCCAACAAGTTTGAATTGGAAGCACAGAGGTGCCTCAGGGCTGGGTGTGTAAAAATCTACATGGACAGCATTGCTACAGTGAGATACATTGGAGGTGAACCATCCCTACAAAAATATCTGTCAGAGACACACAAATTTGCATTTCATTTGATTGGCTGAGACAATGGTTATATATAAAACTAAATCCCATTTCCAAAGACGCAAGGGTGCATGGATGCAGTGAATAGAAATAACATCACTTAATGTCAGTGCTGGCATCAGAGAAAGTGATTTCTCAGCGATTTTGAGAAACAACTGTGAAATATCACAGAAAATATACATTTTTATTGCTATTAATCCATTTCCTTTGAAACTCTTTGTTTTAAAACCATAAAAACGAACGTGTCTTAACAGAGATTGTCATTGTCACATAGTCAGGTAGTGGGAACTGAAAGCTGAAGGAAAACATTAGGTTTGTGGGGACTCTGTGTTCTGCATCAGGTTGCCATTAAACTAAATCTCTGTTATGAGAATATGATATACTGTATCAGCAGGAACATGTGAGGGCGGGGGGCGTCGCCTTAGCAACTGCCCCTTTTGCCCGAACAACTGAAAGGAGCCCTCTATTGAGGTTCTGAGTGCCCCTTTTCGATCACCAACAATAACGCAAATTTTACCAGAGGGGACCCCGCAGTCCTCAAAATTTACCAAAGGAACTTTTTGGGGGGGCATCACGGGGCGTGCCATTAGTGACTAATGGGTTATGTGAGTATCAGACACGTGCTTTAACACACAAGGTAAGGAAGATGCAGGTTTTTTTGCCTCCCGGAGTCCAAATATGAAACTCCGCCTATGCCCCTACCCCATGAAAAGTCTCTGTACGACCCTGAGCATCAGTACGGATAAACGCTGCATGATATTTAAGACAAGTGGGTGTGTAACACGGATAGATGGATGGCATTTATAATACCTATGCACTCACACATCCATCCTATAACCTCATACAGTACTGCGTAGGGTCTCTGGAGCGTTAAACTGCGTTTCCTTGAAAGTGATTGCGGCGGTGCAAAGAGTGCAAAAAGACTTCGAAAAAAAAATCTCAGAGAAATCTTTATGTGAAAATAAACACCAGTTGATAGGCGTAATTAATCCTAAGTAAATCAAACATGAGTTCGCTGGAGTTAATCGCCATTCAGAGATCGAAACGAAAATAGACTACGAACAATGGACACAGTGTATGGAAATACAAAGCGTTTCTAAGGGTAAATATAATCAGATCGAGTGAGGATAATAGGCTTGGGGCTGTATATAGATCAGGGCAACCCAACAATACGCCCCCTTCTGAATCCCCAGCCGTACATACAGGATTCATGCTGGCAGACAATAATCTAGGGCGTTGACTATACAGGTCACCAGCACCCTCATGACGATACATCACATTTTCCTCATAGCCAAAAAGTATACATACCCTGCAGCGAATTATTGTAGAGGGTGTGAAATTGGAGTTAAAACTCGGACAATTTCTCACTAGCAGTGACGCACGTCACTCTCTTTTATTAACTCACAACTGCACATATAGCAAAGAACGGAATTATCTTACCAGAACAATCCCATCACGTGAAAATGAGCACCAATTCCAATAGGTCAATCACAACCCGGGTTAAGGTATAGATAGCCAATTACATATTAGATATCAAGCATTCGTGAACAACTTAGACTTGATAATATGGTGAATTATGTTCAATAAACCGAACCTTAAACTGTTATGTGAAGTCGCTACAAGGGACACATTACATAAAATACAATAAAATAATGAAAAAAAAATGCAAATAAAAGTTCAAGTTGGTAATAAATGTATGTAGCCTAAGTGTGTATAACTACCAAAGCCATGTACAGGCACACTTAAGTGTGACAAAATCAGACTTACTGTCAAGCTGCAGAATGGAGTCGTAAACTTTGCACTGCATCTGTCCGGTGCTCTGGAAGGCGCAGGACATCCACAGCCCCTGGTACATGGCCACAGCCGTGATGATGTTATCTCCGACATAGGCGGACATCTTCCACTGCGGGAGGATGGTGCCCACTATCAGTCCTACGACGCCGATCAGGGACAACGAGAAGCCCAAGAGCTGAATGCCTGAGTTGGCCATGTTTAATTGGAGCGGTACGTCGCGCGTTAAATCTATGTGTATAAAATCAAATTCGGCTGGATTTTATCTTTGGCTTAGAAACAGAAAATTCTTTCGTAGCTTCAGAGGAGCTCACAGACGATCATATATCGCCGAACTTCTTTATGCACCTGTTGCTTCAAAATCAATTTTTTTCTTTGTCTTTTACATTTGCCCCATAAAATTGTGCGAATTATACACGTATCCCTTAATAATGTAGTGAGAAGGTCCTATATAGCCTCCTTTTCCAAGGATACGATGCGCAGAATCACCTACGTCGCACCTTGAATGGACAATGAGATGCTGTTTGAGACGGACGTTTTAAGTGCCCATGTGGAGGGGAGGGGAGGGGGTCTACCTTCTCCCCAATACATTCACAGGGCCCTGACGTCATGTGTTACATCGCACGAGTAGATGTGGTACCTCTCATCTTAAAGTACGTGATATGTTTTTTTTTTTTCATTTTCGAAAAGGACAATTCGTGTCTATTTGTTCGGGAACAAAACGCCTACGCGGCTGCTTTACTTTCCCAGGCCACCTCTGCCACCGATTGAACTGTCACTCTTTCACTGCTGACTTTCTCTCGTTTTCCAGTTCGTTGCTATGAGTTCTAGTCCGTTTCACTGGCCGAGGACGAATTTGTTACCAATTACACCGCCTGAAGCGGTTTGCCTCTGGAGAAGTGGTGTGTCTAGTTACCAATCTGTTTTATTCCCATCACGCTACATCACCAATGGTATGGTTTCACAAATCCCAGTACAATCAGAGTATCATGATTTTTTTTTTCTCCCTTCCCACCCCTAAAAAACAGGACAGGGGCAGATGAACTAGATATATGTTTACAGATGTTCCTTCAACATGCAGAACTGCTATGATGAAGGTAAGGATTATGAAACTATGTCCATAACATATATGGAAACTGCATGGAAATTAATTGTAACAAATTTAATCATAATTCCTTCCTATAACTTTCATTATGGTCCACATCCTGCATTAAGCCTTACTGAATCCTAGCCAGCAGGAGTCCACAGATCTTCATGTGGTATACGAACTGGCTTACATGCGCATATCCTTCTTTCTACTGTGTTATGACTGTTCACATTGTGTTGACAAGCCTGATTGGGGGGGTATGTTTATGCACATTGTTACACTGTGAACAGAGACCCAATTAACCCTGTTGTGTATGCCACCCACAGCTGTTCCGGGATTTTTTGAATAATGCGTTTGAATTCCTTGGAGCAGCATGGCATGAGTTCTGCACGTTTCAGGACATCGTTTGGGTTTATCATGTTGGGTCTGTGAGACACCATGTTCCAGCACCATGCTGGCAGGGGCAATCTCCCAGAACCCCCGAAAAACTGGAGACTGAGGGCCCCCCTGGACCGGAGCATAACAAAGGTTCTATTGTAGCCCAGGAAAATGTCTCAGAGACACAAGGAATTTCAAACACACCGAGCCACTGGGAGATTTTGTTTCAAGAATGTTCCTGCTCACCGCCCAGGTCGCTGCGGGTTACGCGATTTATCGCTCGCTCTCTTTGCCGGCACCAAGACACGGGCCAAGCTGCTGAATCGAGAGAAAGGCCTTCCTCTTTCCGCTGCTGTTCATAAACATGCATTTATCTTCTCACGAGCAATCGCACAATGCTTAAGGGGTCGGGGCGGGAGAGTGGGGGCTGTTAAATTCACCGAAACCTCTCAGACACCTCCAGGCTGCTCTGCAGCGCTCGTCGCTTTTGAACCAACAGGCTCCTTGTGAAGACTGGACTTCTGGGAAGTGCTTGGAAAGCTGCCGAACTGTTACCAATAAAACATGTCACAGCAGCGGCGTCCCTTTGAGAAAGCGCTTGATGCCCCCATGGTGCAGCCGCCCCCTCAGAGCCTTCCCACCACATCCAGTCTGACTCCTGCTTTTCCTCATCTTAAATGGAGAACAGTACAGAAACACGCTGTGATGTGCGGGTTTCCAAAGCTCAGTCTTCAGATCATAAAAGATGTAAATCAGTGGATCAGTGGTGCGTCACAGTGGCTCACAGGGCTGATGATTCAGTCTTGCCGCCAATTTTTCCCAGGTTTCTCTTGTATTCCAAGGCCATCTCCCAGTGCCCTTTCGTTTTGTTGTTTCTCCTGGGAAACTGGTGATTTGCATGGCCCTCAAACTTTACGCTGAATAATCACCATACACGGATCCATAAGTTTCATATGTTTCTCTGATGGTACTCAAGTTGCCAGATTGTCCATAAAATACATTCCAGACACGCAACCCATCTGTCACCACAACTTGGCAACCCACAAGCTGACTAAAGGGGTGTGTGCAGCTGCTCTCTGCCCAGATCAGCAGGACAACTGAATGCTGAATGAATTAGCTAGCTAGCATTATAACAAAAATAGAAATAAAAATAGAGTCTTACATCGACTTACACTTGATCGAGTCACGTCTGCTCATGGTAACATCCAAGGTCCATAGTATATAATATACACTGTTTGAGAGACGCCTGAAGGCGGACATAGTGGGATGTTAGCAGGTGTATCGCTTTGTGTAACAGGTGCAGGACAATGGGCAGCCCTGCTAGCTCTATAATGATCATATCTAGCTTGATATCATACTTATAATTTGTAATACAGTATGCATGCAGTGATGTGTATGTCATGGACAATATTGAGATACACCCAAACTGACTTATGTCCGGTGGTCCGGGTCCCAAATGTGAACACAAGCGAACCTGTTTATTTATTTATTAACTTATTTGCGTACTTATCTCCCCCCACTGAAAAAAACAGATTTAGAACTGTAACTGTTGGCTGGTATGGTTTGTTTGTGTGTGGACTTTGCATGTTCTCCCTGCCTTGTACAACTTGTACAAATCCTCCCATAGTGTAAAGCTGCACAGCAAATGTGCCAGTGTTAAATTAACACTGCATGGTGTCTATATGTGACCACACCATTCAGTGTTACCTTTAACACTTTTCAGTGTGCAGTGAGTGTTGTTTTACAGTGTTAATATCTATTAACTCTTATAGTGTTCAATTTATAACCTAGAGTGTTGTCAAAGAGTCTCCACCTCCACATATCTGGCCCATTTTAATATGCGAATAAGACGTCATGAGGATCAGAAGAGCCATCCCAGATTTACCCACCATCATGAGAAAGACTCTGACCAAACAGCTATTTATTGTTTTGTATTAAAATTTCACTGGCTTGGTTCTGACTAATCTTGAAGATTAGAGAGCTGTGGTCTTATAGCATGTTGTTATTGTATCAGAGAAAAACTCTTGGAGATGTACGTGTCTCCAGATTAGTATATATATTAATAGTGTGGGAGTATGTTTGACTGCTAGTCCTACCTTTGGATGATTAACATATGTGGAAAGGTGTTAGGACAGTTGTGATACCCTTTTCTGTGCAGCTTCTGGAACCACCCACTCCCCTGTAGACCAATGGTGCTGGATGTATATTTGCATAGCATGACACAATACTGTTTTTGACTTAATAGATCTTTTTTTTAATCCACCGCGAACAAAAACCACAGAAATGGCAACTTGCGTTCCAGCCAAGGACCAGGTGGGATGGTTTAGCCTCTATGGTTTAACTAGAGAAGGCATTGGCTGGGAGGAAAAAGCTATGGAAAACCAATCATTTTGTTTCTTTTCAGAAGATCATTTGGATCTTCTGTATCTTTACAATTGAGATTTCTTCAGGGATGCACATATGGAAGAACTACACTGCCCACATCAATTAACACACACCAACACAAGCAACTCAAAAATACAGATAATGAAATGTGGTAAAGACTAATATCAGTGCCATACCAGCCTCGATCATGGTGGGTTTCTAAAAATTAAGTTTAATGAAAATTTTAATATTAAATGAGCAAAGTGATTTGATTTGTTCTATCGCAAGTTGTGGTCTAAAAGCAATGAGGCCACCACCCATTATATCTGCTTTAGTGGAAACACACTCCTTCAGTCATTAAGATAGCTCTCACCCTTTTTCAGCCCTGCTAAATAATTATGTGATGCAGTCTAACACAGTCTAGCTTCATAACCTGTGTTTGGTGATTGGTAACATACATTTCACACACTTTTATACCACAGGGGGTTTTCGGCACAGTTTTTTGATTATCAAAAGCTGAACTGAAATAAAACTTGCATAAAAAGAGAAAAGGCCATGTTGGTCTGAGTCTTTCTTATTATGGTGGGTTAGTAAAACACAGCAGCTCAATGCCCAAAAGAGTTCAAATGAGAGTGCATTAAAATAGGGCAGATATGGGCCTCCCAATTTGTACTTGTGTGCAACCCATATGGGCTTGCAATTTGGGAAGAGTTGGAGACACGTTGTCCTAACACTCTAGGTTGTAAATTGAACACTATAAGAGTTAGTAAATATTAACACTGTAAAAACAACACTCACCGCACACTGAAAAGTGTTAAAGGTAACACTGAATGGTGTGGTCACAAATAGACACCATGCAGTGTTAATTTAACACTGGCACGTTTGCTGTGTGGGCTCCTCATTCCTTCTCCTGGAGAATCTACCACTCTGCAGAGCTTAGGTGCAGCACTAATGTTAACATAGCTGGCTCTAATACTGAGATGCTGCTGGACCTGGTTATCTGTAAGCGCTGCAGCCTGGTAAATCTTCAGGAGCAGCAATGAGCAGCCCCAGTCTAAAGACATGCAGATAGGTGACTAGGTGTCTGGAAACCACTGTAATGTGTGACTAAGGGTTACAATGTGTACCCTGCGATGGACTGGCATACCATTCAGGGTGTCTCCTGACCATGCAGTGCTCCCTGAGATAGGGTTCAGGCTCTCTATAAGCCTGTACTAAATAAGCAGTTATGAAAGATTCATGGATGGATAATTAAAAAAAAAAAACACCATGATCCTGTTTTTCTTGTTATTCTCAGAGATACCCACAACCCTAACCAGGAAAAGTTATGTTGTGAAGATTGTGGACAGATGGATCATTACTGATATATTAGAGTAAAATCAGTGAACAAAGGAAAAGAGCATGAGTAGCAAACTGAATGTGATGTGACAGAGACAGCCAGCATCACTGTTAGACAGGACAATGGCCCAGTATCAGCCAATCAAGCACTAAGGCTAGTTCATAGTACACTAGTGTTTAGCCATTTTAACAGTATTTTTTTCCTGAACTTTATCAGCTTGATCATTTAAGTCCTGCATTCCCATACTCTCACAGTATTGGTCAGCAGCTCCCTAGCTGTCATGCAAAACCACCTTCCCACAGATGGCTATTTGCCTTAAACGGCTGAACTGCCTCTGGTTGTGTGGGTAGACAGCAGCACCTGTGCAGCAGGAAAACTGTAAGCAGGCTGCTGCAGCCTTTTCGCCGCAGAGCACACCGCTAGGCCAGGCCTGTCAGGTGGTTACAAGGGAGCCACGCCCCCGGCAACCAGCAGAAGAAGAATTCATAACACAAGAAAAAGCCACACAAGGGCCATTGAAAAAAAATCACTATTGCTAGCTGAAAGATGGGTAGTTATGCTTACCAAAAAGTTGATGGTTCATTCTGCTATTTAGCTTAAACACAAGGGTTAAACTGTGACTGGTGCTTTTGTTTAAATGCAGTGTAGCATGGCACAACGATGCAGGAATCTTACTGCTTTTCTGTGGGGTACGATCATATTTCTAACCCCTGGCAGTAGAGGAGAAGCAAGGAGAGGCCAGCGGAAATCTGCATCACAGTGTCGTTTACTGTGTCAGAAAGAGTGCCAGTGAGAATTGTGGGGAAAAAAAAATAACAATGGATAATATAAAGGGAAGTTTTCAGATAGGTGATGGAGAACTAGGACTGAAACATCATAGTTAGGCTCATACTTCTAACTATTTTAAGTGGAATTGAAGGAGGTGGAAATTCTGAGGAAGAATGTCCTCAGAATTTCCTACAAACCCCAAACTGGTACATGGGGTTCCTCCCCGAGACGGGCTTGTTTACTTACTGTGACAAAGCATGCCTAAGGGATACCTTTTGCATGAGTAGAGCATTTGCATGTGCCACAGCAACAAATGGAAATGTAGCACAGCCAACTGGAGATGTAATTGGCCGTTTGCAGAAAGTGGGCGGGTTAAATCGCAGATGATGCTTTATGCCACTTTGGCATGCAAAGTACATATGGCCTCTTCCCATAGCTTTGGTCAGGAAACCACACTTTACCGTCATTGGCCTCATGACCTGTTTGTAACTGCAAATGAAACTCATCACGAAAAGAAATTGCGCAATTACTGTAATGTGGCACTGTTCAATGATGGAGACTAAAGAGCACTTATGTAAGTCGCTCTGGCTAAGGGTGTCTGCCAAAGGCTGTAAATGTAAATGCAGATAACATCCATCCAGCTTTCTGGAGAGAGAGAGAGCGAGAGAGAGAAAGAAGAAAAACAGGATTCATATGGAGTCATTTGGATTTTATCCCATTGTATGAATATCTTTGTGGTAATCAACAACACTCCATATCAGGGATAAGGAGATAAAATAATAAAAAAAAAAACATGGCTAGGAATCTAGTCATGACAATTCCAAAAACAGAGACATTAGTATGGTATAAACGTCTAGCTTTCCATAAAATGAATCTATACTTGTACCCATATTTTTTATATCCGGTGTAGCAGGAATTTTCCTAATGTCCTGTTCTCTGCTTCTGAAAGGAAGTCATGAAGTTTGTTGTGAGAAACAGTGTTGACACGATGTAGGCGGTTGAAAAGAGATTTCACTTTGCTGTGGCGCCACCTAGTGCTGTGCCAGTGTTCCCACAGCCATCATCCACATACTGAATGTCTGACAGCTGGCACAAAAACACCAACCCACAGTGCCCCCTGGTGTCTGCTGTGAGACTCGTATTGAAAATATCACTGAGCTATATTAACAGTTCCACTGTTTATGAGCAGTTTGAAAGGAAGAGATACGCATGTCATGGCACCTACAGACACGAACCTTTTCTGCACTATCTACAGTAATGAAAGATGGTCTTTGGTAGTCAATAGATTCCCTCCCTACTCTGTTTGTGTGGTGCCTGCATGTTCTCTGTTGAAGTGAATTTTCTATTAAGATTCCTGTCTAATCCTACAGTCGAAAAACATGCAATTCCTATAAACTAAGATTTGGTCTGATCATCGTTTATTGAAAAAGGGCACTTAGAACATCAAAGAGGGGCAATTTCATTGATTCAGGTGAAGGGTGCAGGTGCGCAGGCACTCCCACCCCCCACCCCCCACTGCATATGCCTGCAAACAATGATTTTCCAGGAAAAATAAGTTCATTTACGCATATCAAAACCATTTTCATTAAATTATAATTACATATTTATTATATAAATAATACGTTTTTAAATTCCACTTGCTTCTATTAGTCCTGTATGTTCTGTAGTACCAAATTAAAATGTATATTTCTGAGTGAAACTAGGGGTCTTCAAAATACAACATATTGTTACTTTAATTCTGTGTCTCACAGTATATTTCTAGTATCGGGTGATCTTTTTGTTACATCACAATGTAACAGACAGAACTTTTCATTTTGGACTATAACAATTCTAGTCTATTACATTCCAGGTAACCCTTCAATTTACCATTCCTTGGACTTTATATTTGACTACTTGTTGACTACAGGTTTTGCCAAATGGGGATCAAAAGTACCTGACACTGTTATCTTGGGGGTCGTGGCCTGAAAAATTTGAGAACCTATAAGTCACACTGATAAGCCAAAACTTTATGACCACCTCCACATAATTCAAATAACATCGTCTATCACGTAAAAATGGTCTGTGTCAAGGTCTGGAATGTATTATATGGTAAGCTTACATTAAATACTCGTGGTTGACATGCTGAGTGCAGAAGAAATGGGCAGGGATAAAAAAAATATGAGTGACTGACAAGGAGGAAATCATTATGGCCAGACTACTGGGTCAGAGCATCTCTAAAAGTAGCTACTGAGAGGGAAAAATCATTAACTGATAACTGGGTGTTGGGCGACTCAGACTTATCGATGCGAGGTGGGAATGAAGGCAAACCAACAGAAGGGCTACTGTGGCAGAAATGTCAGATAACGCTGATGATGGTGATGAGAAAACTGTGTAACGACACACAGGGCATCAAGCCCTATTGCTTATGGGGCTACATAGCTGCAGGCCAGTGACCACGATAATCCCATTTATCATCGAAAGCTCCTATGATGGGCGAGCATCAGAACTGGACCTTGGAGTGACGGAAGAAGGCCCCCTGGTCCGATGAATCTTGTTTTTTGATCATGTGATCGGCCAAGTACGTGTCAAGAATCTGTGGGATGCGTTGGACCAGCAAGTCCAACCCGAGGTTACCCAGTCCCATACGCAGCAAGGCTTGATGCCATCTGAGTGACGTTGCTTACTGTTGGTTTATACCATACGGAACAACCTTCATTCACATTCCGCATTGACAAGTCTTGGCCGCCCAACACCCTGTGTGTGCATCGTGGATTTTCCCTCTTGCAGTAGGTAGTCACCACAGCAGACCAAGAGCACTCCACAAGTTTCGCCTTTTCAGAGATGCTCTGACCCAGTCGTCTTGCCATAGTGATCTGGCCCTTGCCAAAGTCAGCATTTTATCTCTGCCCATTTATTCTGCACTCAACACGCCAACGACGAGTGCTGAATGTCAGCTTACTGTGTAATATATCACAGATATATCCCACGCACCATTTTTACAAGATTTCACAACAAGATTATTCACTTCAGGTGGGGGTGGTCATAATGTTTTGGCTCATCAGTGTGTAACTGGTTTGCAGTTCTGTGAATGGGCAATTACAAGCATAGCCCTTTTGATGTCACATCCACTGACAACATGCTATATATTTCCAAAAGATATGCAAATTTATTCATTGATACTAAGCTTATCCACGCTCCCAGGCACGTTTGCCATTAGTATTATATTCATAATGCTGGAATTGCCCATATATTCTTGTCTTGTATCATAGTTTGCATTACACCTTTTTACCTGAAATGAGAATCCTATGTGTCGTGGAGGTTTGTATATGTATTGTTAATTGTGCAAATATACTTAGCCAGCCCACACCCATTACGCTTACCGAAAAATTACAAACTGTTAATGGGGTGGTTTGGAATGTATTTTTAGCTACAGACCAAAGCTGGTGTTACTCCAGACTGGAATCATGGGAAGTGTAGTTCTCTCTTCTCCATCAGTGAAAATGAGACTGGCAGTCTATGATCCAGGTGCCCAGATTATGGGAATGGTCTCAGACGAAAGGCTGGTCGGGGGTGTAGTTGAAGCTGGCATCCAGAAACATGGTCAAGGTTCCCAGGGTGGTGATAACGACAAAGAGCCAGAGAAAAAGCCGGTCCACCACGATGGCGATATACTGCCAGTCTCCTGTCAGCTGAGGACACAGACAGGACCGGCAGTGAAGGAATGCTGGGATCCACCTCACCAGTGTTAAGAGCGCATGCTGTGGACACATTTCTGAAGCTTCAGTGAAGCGTTCCCGACAGATATATGGAAGTGACAGTGAGGCATGCTGGGAAACATACATGGCATGGTTCCCATAGCACCAACATGCCTAACATGAGGCAAGGCATTCTGAATGTGTTCAGAACATAGTTATTAGTTTACTTTGCAATGAATTCCCACCGTACCTGAGTTATTGACTACACATGTACACTATAATCATGTCAAGTTCTACAAAGAAAACACACATACACACACACTTCAGATTCATCTACACATCCACTCTTACCAGTAACATGGTTATACACTCTACATTCCAGTTATTCATATGTAGCTGGATATTGTACCAACTGCTTATCACACTACGAGAGAAATGGGGGGGGGGGAGTAATAAGAGGGAGATTGTAAGAGCAGAGTACAGTGGACAGTGGGGGGTTAGGTTTAGGGCCAGGTGAGAAGCTGGTTCTTCAGATCAGGTAAAGGGGACCTACTGTGTCATCAGTGTCCTGCCTCTTTAGTTGTTCGGCCATGTAGGTGACAGCGGCGATGGCTGACTTGAGATCAGGGGGCAGGATCAGGCAGTAGTTATCACTGTCAAAGTATCTCTGCAGCTGGACTGTACTGTCGCCCCTAGGGACACATGCAGACACATATGCACGACCCCTGAGTGAGGTACTTAGCACTGCCATAAGACCTGCAGCCACACCGTTTCTACTTGCAAGGACATTCAGACATGAAACCAGTTTGCAGGACACTAATAATGGAGCGGTTGTCATACCACCATGGCAATGCCTCTCCTAGAGGCAGGCGTCACCACGGTTTACCGGCACTCCCTGACTTAAAAACCGCCAGCTGGAGAGCCATGGGCAAAGAGGAAATCATGAAAATCCTTACACACAGTAAGACATCTTGTAAATATCCATCCATCTTTATAATATAGCTTATTCATAGTATAAGAAACCTATCCATCGGGAGGAAGCTTTGGGAAAAGGCAGAGGACACCCTGATTGGGACAGACAGGGGACACCCTGGACGGGACAAGCAGGGGACACACTACATAGGTCAGGCAGGGGACACTCTAGATGGGACAGGCAAGGGACACCCTGGACGGGGCAGGCAGGGGACACCTTAGATGGGACAGGCAGGAGACACTCTGGACGGGACAGGCAGGGGACACTCTAGATAGGACAGACAGGGGACACTCTAGATAGGACAGGCAGGGGACACCCTGGACGGGGCAGGCAGGGGACACCTTAGATGGGACAGGCAGGAGACACTCTGGACGGGACAGGCAGGGGACACTCTAGATAGGACAGCCAGGGGACACTCTAGATAGGACAGGCAGGGGACACTCTGGACGGGACAGGCAGGCAGAGGACACATTGGCATGACTGTTTTATCTTGGGAAGGAGGTATCATGGCACTGGGATGATTTCGGACAGCACAGTATAAAACCAACAGGCCTCAGCCTGTGTATCCACCTCCATATTTGTATTATTAGGGGTCCAAGTAGCGTTAGCTGCAGGATCCCTATTGTATTTTTAAGAAGTCCTTTATATTTTCCCTGCACTTGTTACAGTAACATTTTGCTTCTGCCAAACATTTATGAGTTAGCTGCAGATTCCCAGCCCACTGCATTTATACAAAGCCTTCTGCAGTCCGTATCCTCCCTGTAACCCTATTGTCCTCTGAATGACCATGCTTCTGTACTGTTAAATCAGACAAATAGGGGCTGTCTAGCCATACCGGGACTCCACAGGGGAGCCCTGCTTGTTGAAGGCTGATGTGGAAAAGGGGCAGAAAAATATAACACAGGGATTTCTGACAAACCAGAGCTTTATTCTGACTGATTTCAGGAAGGTTAACAAAAGGCCTTCAGGGCAAGCAAATGTAATATTTCAGCAAGACGAATAAAGAAAACAAATACTGCACAAGAAAGCAGCACACAGACAAACACCAGGGATGAGGCACAGGTGCAAGCAAAATAAACAAAAGAATTAGCATCTCCGGATTCCTCTAAGTAGAGGTGGACAGTAACCCCCTGCCCCCCCAACCATATAGATGTGTCTGCAGGGAAGATCAAAGGGAACGATTCAAAGCATCTTGTTTCCAAATCGGGATTAAAATCGACAGCTCGCTTTTATCTGCATGTTTGCTTGGACAGACTAATGCCGGCAGGCACCCGGTGTCTCCATGCCGACAGGGAGGGTGGGGGATGATGTAGCTGGGAGGGGACCATAACTGTCTCCTTTCACGACTGAGCACTGTGACGGCTGTGTATTGTGAGACACACGCCAGGGAAAGGAACACGCTTCCTGACAAGAACACTCGTCCGTGGCGGAGGGGCGGAGACTTTGTGGCGCTTAATCAGAAGCGCAGCCCAGGCTGTATCCGTCGTCAGGGCAACGCTGGAGTCACCTGCCAGGCGCCGGCTTACTCTCTAACACCCAATCAAAACAAAGGCTTAAAGGCTGGCGACTGTGAGAAGCACGCTGGAGTACGGCACGCTGAAAGGGACGCCCTTGGACTGTGCTGGCGGGGTTGCCCCCGCCCGAACATGCCTGCGGTGGAGACGGTCGGGCCGCATTTACACATGCACCGTGGGAGGGGAAGCCCCCTGGCACCATGGATTAGGAGGCAGCAAATAGAACTGTCAGTAGTGGGTGTCATAGCCCCCCCCCCCCCCCCGGGCAGATGAAAAAAAGGGGCCTCCTCACCGGCCAGCTACTGAGAAGCATGTTCGCTCATTTCTCTGTTAAGCGTTAGACAGTATGCAGGACGTTCCAATAAAAAGACCATTTGCATTTCCAGTTCCGCGTGAGAGTGCTGTGTGCGATTCGGCTGCCGCTTCTCAGTGTCTCTGTGTTTTCTTCTTTGATCCTGTTCGTTACTCTGCCATCAGCTTACCTTCCAAACACACATCAGCTCAGTAGTACAGACAGCATTTTTCATCTCCGTAACATTGCTCCTCTGCACCCTTTCCTCAGTGTGAAAGATACTGAAACACTAATTCATGCTTTCATCACTACCCGTCTGGACTATTGTAATGCATTATTTTATGGCCTCCCTACAAAATACATAAATAGATTACTTGTATGTTCAGAATTCTGTTGCTCATTTACTTACACACACTAAAAAATTTGCTCACAACACTCCTGTCCTCTATGATTTCTGCCAGTTTCTTCAAGAATCAAACATAAAATGATACTCGTGCTTTAGCTCCTCATTATCTGTCTGAGCCTCTGCTTCCTTACACTCCAGCCCACAACTAAGGTCATCTGATGCTAACTTACTCACTGTACCTAAGCATAGGTTATCAACTATGGGTGACAGAGCTTTTAGTGTAAGAGCCCATAAAACCTGGAGCGCTCTTCCTCTCAATCTTCATGAGGAAACATCTACTGTCCTCTAGGATAGAACACATCTCTTCAATGGATATTATTCATCTTCTTATATGTAACTTGTATGGTCTTGTTAAATGTGTGTGTTGAATTATAAAGCATCCCCAAAACATTTCTTTTTTCATATAATCCCAATCATGGCTTCTCTCCACAGGCTTCTGCTAACCTCACGATCTCTAAATGCTTTGTTTAGATTTTCTTTCTCCCACCCATTCCTTTGGAGGAGCACTTTAATACATTGGGACCCCCAGGATTCAGGGGTTCAGTTATCCGTAGTTCACTACATTTTGAATAAAAAAAACAATAAAATTGCAGAAATAAATGATTCATAAGTTTCAAACCAAGTGAGTACAGGCTGTAAGATGGTGAAATCCGCCAGCCCAGTTGTGCCCAGTACAACTCATCTCCCTTTGTCCCCACACCCACGCTTCCCTGCAGGACTCTCTTCCAGTCTGCCTCTAGCGTTCCTGCTGATCGCATTTATTGCCATGAAATTATATAAAAACCATGACCAAGAGAGTTTTCTTGCACTGCCCCCTGGTGGACATGACCTTTAATCCTCCAGACTGACATAAACTACGTGTGCAAGTATGAGCAGCAACGCTTGGGGAGCAATAATAAATGAACACATTGCATGCATAGAGTATAAACCAACCCTTACTATCAATTAAACTTTTCCATACGTAGGTACATGAAATTCATGCTGTTCATGGAGCCGGCAGACCGCTATTATCTGTGGTTTCGACCATCCGTAGTAGGTCTTGGAATGTATCACCCATGGATAATGGGGGATCACTGTATCGTGAAGCAGTGTGTAGCTCTGTCACCTGGCTGCCAGCGATGCTTGTGATGTGTGCTACACAACCAGGTTTGACATTACCTTCTTCTCCATGGGCGCACGAGCTCTGGGTTGATGTTTCGGGCAAAGTACTCGCCACCGGGCCTCCGGCTATCCGGGCAGGACAGGGGCGTGTCTTGCTTGCACTCCTCCTCGAGGGGCTCCTCTGCGTGGGGCCGCTTCATCCCCAGGTATGGGGGCAGGAACTGGATGAACACCTGGGTTGGTAATTAAAGCATCGACAGCTTATATGGTGACACACAAGAATATCACATCAAATACTTTCACAAAAAATCATCCATTTCCCATTCTGAATAACCAGTAATGGGTTGTGGAGTTAGCCTGGAACCACAAGACAGAGGAAACCCTGGATAAGGGCTATAGCATCCAATAATGTAATAACACGCCAATAATGTTATTACATTATTGGTTCAGAAAATATATTATGGTATGGACCAGTTATTACATTATTGACTTTTAATGCATTAAGTATGGAAACATTTTTACGTTATTGGCAGTTACTACATTATCGGCTTCTATAGACCATTCTATCGTAGGACACACATGCTACGGGCGTCGAATTCCAAGGGCAAACTGGAGGAAAATGGAGTACCCAGAGAAAACCTCACAAACATGGGGAAACATGCAAACTCCACCCCTCGGACCAGGGGCCGGGATCAAATCCTGTCGGTATGAGGCCACATTGCTACCCAGTGAATCGCCACACCAAACATAGACGTTATGCTTATTATACATGCTCATTACTGTGTAAGGATACTTCAACGGGTCATATAGGGGGGATTTGTGGTTCCTGGAGCTTGCGGGTGAAAACATACTGTTGTATGAGCTACTTCAGGAGCCCAGCATGACAGGTGTGAGCGTCAGTCAAATAGCAGAGGCTGGCTGAGAGGGAGCACCCACCTTACGCACCCACAAGGGCATGTGGTGAGTGCTGGGTGAGCGGTGGTGGAGGTTGAGCACCACCACGCTGAGGATGACCGAGAAGGTGACCAGGATCATGGTGAACATGACATAGTTGACGATGATAGGGATGCCTAGAGAGGTCTCAGGGACCTTGTCGGCCAGCAGGAGCATGAAGACGGTTAGAGCGATGAGGACAGATATCGACAGGGTCATCTTCTCCCCTAGTACAACAGACATAGATATACATGTATACACATGCACTCTACACACATCACACAAAATCTCTTCTCACTGAAACCTCCCACCAAGATTTCTCATCCCTCTTCCCACCAAGTGTCCTCTCCATCTGTACCTAATATTTCTTGAACCCCCATCACTTTTTTTCTTCTATCCTGTAAATTCGCCATATCTGCTGACTCCCCCAAAGGTTTCTAGCAAGCATGAGTCTCATAAAAAAAACGTAACCGGAATGTGATTCTTCTCAGAACTACCCACCAGTTTCCATCGTTCGCTTTCCTCTCACTCTTGAACAGGGGTAGGGAACCTGATCCACGTAGATCCGTGCGGGTGGAGGTTTTTGGGATGAGTTGAGAACCACTGCTTTATTATTGGCTGACTGACAGGTCATCCCAAAAACCTGCAACCACACCGGCTCCCTATGGATCACGTTCCCAACCCCTGCTCTAGAAGGTGTCTTCACCAGCTAAAAGTAAGCTAAGCGTTGACTTACTTTGGTTCAAATAGTGACCTCTAAGATAACTTTGCACAATGACTTTCAAACCTGCCAATAAAGGTTTAAAGCCTGAGCTATCCACGTCCCTTATGGTGTATCACAAGCATCCTCAGCTACGTTTTCCCCTCAAACAGGCATGGCCAACACAGTGGAGATGCTTAGCATTGCTGCTGACACCTTATCCAGCTGAGTAACTCTCTGTCCATGTGGATAATGCAACTGTAGTGTCACCAAGAGCTGCAGAGAACCATGGCCTCACCTGCACCCTGTCCATCTCACCAAGCACTGACCACCAGCATTAAATCTGTGCAACAATTGGAGCACCATGCTCAGAGTATTGTTGGTGCAGACACTGGTCGAAAATATTATCACATCTTAGCTAGTCTGTCATATTGCACTTCTAGCATTCAACATGAATAAAATAACTATTGCTTAAAATACGGACATTTATTTTCCTAGGGAATAATATGCCTTTATAAGCAAGAGTCTCATCCAAGACTCAGGTCCCCCATTAGACATGACTGTGCGCAGTGAGAGATGATCTGGAAACCAGAGTACACCATTCTGGTTCAATAAAGTCCAGGCCCAGGAGATCTGGTTTCACCTGCATCGGGAGGCAGATAGAAGACAAAGATGGCCAAAACGCTGGTAAGAATGCAGGGCACAATAATGTTCACGATGTAGAAGAGCGGCTTTCTTTCAATAATAAGGTAGAAGGTGATGTCCTCATACAGGTCCTCCCGGACATTCTTCCTGGACGGTTTGTGACAGATCTGCCATTCCCCGTTCTCTGATAGGATCACAGCAACCAACACATCATTAGGTCTCGAAATACGTAATTTATGATGCTTCATTGGGCAGAATGAGGTGAAGGAGCACAGTTCATAACCAAAAGATCTGCATGATTAATTTACATGGGGTCCACTTTTGTCAGATGTAATTACCCTGAAATACCTTTCCAAAATACCTGCATGTAAATAGATAGCATGCAAATGAGTAAGTTATGTGAATGTTTTTGAATAGAGATTCTGCTAAGAAACAAAATAATGTCTGATGATCTCAATATAAGATTATATATGTGCCAGGATCAGTCCTTGCCCAGTCGGTTAGGCCAAGCCCTAGAGTTAGAGTTGTTAATGACCCGCACCTGTGCCTTGTTGCCCCTAGTTTTTAATGTTTGGTTAATTTTCAATGCCAACACTTGTTTCTTGTCCATCCTCATTGTGGAGTTTATATGTGATTGCTTGTTACTAGCCAGTGCCTTTGTTTGTATGTGATGCTGTTGGATGTTCCCTGATTAGTACCCTGTTCTGAATCTGTGTCCCTTCAGCATTTCCTTGTTTACTTGAGTCTTTGTTAATTCTCGCTCTGCCTTCCTGCTCTTTTGTTTAGACCCTTCATGATCCCTTTTGCTTTCAGGTTCTGCGAGTTCTGTTAATAAAATCCCCTTTTGTGTGTAAACCGCACTGTGGACCGTCCTTGCACCATGCCTTGCCATAACAATATGCATGTATTTCTGATGGAATATCCACATTTAAGTCATTGAACCCAATAAACAAAAAGCACAGAAGAAGAAGCCGCAGAAGAAAACGCAGAGAGGGCAATGGTGAAGATGGTGATTTTCAATGTACTGACCAGTAAAGGCATTCTCATCGATTATAATTTCATGAATCTCCTGGCCATTCTCATCCACAGCATACTGAAGATCCACCTCAGAAGAGTCATAGGTATATGAGCGGAAAACCATGGAGCAATTTTGCCAGTCAAAGGGGAAGTACGCCACCTGGAAGATGGAGAGTGACTTTTACAGCAGTCTGCAGTCACAGTAGCAGTTGGCTGTTGTTGGTATCAATGTATTATGTTACAGGAGTGTTACTGCATTTGTTTTCATAAAAGGGTCTTAACACATGATGTCCACACTATCTTTCAAGGAAAGAAGACCAGCTACTATATGTGTGCTGTCACCCAGCTGTTTCTTGTCACTCTGCTGTAGAGGCGGAGAGTCACACGCGGGAGGGGAACCCTGACAGGTCCAATTAAAACAAAGGACAATTCTACATCTCCCTGGGCCTCCTAGGCAAAGACGGCCCTGAACCAGTGTAGTACTGGGGGGAGTTCTGTTCCTATACATCCCGATGAGCAATCAACTACAGGCAGTCCCCAGGGCAGGAACGTCTGTCTTATGGAAAACTAGTACTTGTGTCATAGACTGTCATAATGCCTATTATATAAAAAATTGGGTTAAATTCAATGGTTCGCATGTGTGCAATACTTTGTGATGCTCATGAAGACATTGGTAACCAGCGGGTTCTTCAGCTCAAAGCACTGTACAGTATCGTAGGTAATTACTACTACTGCTACTACTACTACTACTACTACTACTATTATCAGCATTATTATTATTAATAATATAATAAGAAATTTATTATTATTATTATTATGCAGTGTTTTATTACTTTTCTATCTTACCTACAAATTCAACTTAAAAGCAGACTTAGGGAACGGATCTTTTTCGTAACCGAGGGTCTGGCTGTATAGATTTGTATTCTATTGTTGTAAGAACACATCATATTAAGCATTTAAAAACACGATATAATGAATTAGGAATAATTCAGCTAATATGGAAGAGTTTATATGAAATTATTCTTATAAAGGTTTGTCCATTTTTATTTTTTCAATAAATTCTCCTGAAATATGTGTGCTGCTATGAGCAGGTCACACTACAAGTCCGAGTTATTCCTAAGCCATAGAGAAGGACAAATACAAAGAGGTGAAGGTGTGATACTCTGAAAGCTGAGAGGCCACAGTAGAGGAAAGACAGAAATTTGAATGGGGGGCACATGGGGAGCCCCTGGTACCTCTATGGAGCAGGTGCTGCGGTAGATGGCCGGGGGGAGCCAGGTCACAGTGCCGTCACTGTTCACCAACACGTTGACATAGAGGGCCACATCAAAGTGACCGTCGTTGCTGCAGGACAAACAATGATTACTATCAAATAAAGATGGTAATGCTGCCTATGAAACAAGACAGATCACATCATCCTGCAGGAAAAGCATGAGACAAGACTAGAGTGTGGACATGTCAGTCTTGTGTTATAGACATATCTATATGAACATTCAGTGACAGGAGACAAGCATGGGCTGAATATTCATAAATACTCACAGAAGCTGAGCAACTGACAAGAAATTGACAGAAGTTACTAGCACTCACTTGCTTGGTGTTGCCCTTCAGCTGTTAATAAGGCAAACTTACTTGTTGATGAGGTAGATGTCTGGACGCCACACATTGTTTGGAGGGATTCTCAGAACCTGAATGTTGTCATATTCCTCAGGATTCCAGGAAAGTCTGTAATCCTTCCAGGCCTGGACAGGGAGAACAAATGAGGGAAGTGAAGGTTGGTTCCTGTCTGTCTTGTAATCAGTAACCCCCCCCCCCATCATGTTCCCAGTATAATGTAGTTGTAGGCAGGCACATTTGAATTTTAGCAGCATTTGAGAAAACTGGAATGGAGGATACGGGGGGGGGTGGAGGAGCTCAAAAGGGAGGTAAAGATGAAGCAAAGTCTGTTAGAGGAAGTGACAAGGCAATTCCAAAGAAGATACAGTGTCTGTTGAAGATAAATGTGCTCACCAGATTCATAAACACATTGGTCGTCATCTCCTCATTCTTCTCATTCTGTGGACAAGACGGGCGGCAAAATGAAGATGACGTGCTTGGGCGTGACATTTCCCTCAGCTAACCACATAATTAACTGCACCTGAAGCAGCAACTCTCACCTAATTCTGTGTGACTGCATATTGTCACATGGTACACAAGCGAAACTCTGGCAGCCGATGAAGGGAAGCTACCCTAAATTATCAGGTCTTCGAAGAGCACACAGCCAGGCTTAACCTCCTGGGAGCTACTGCTGAAAGGCTGGCCTCCACTGGAGAGAAAAGGTGAGGGACACATACCACAGAGGAAGGCATTTTATGCAAAGGGGAATTTTGTTTGTGGGGGCACATAACTCAAAGACCAGGCGAAATACTAGGGAGGGGGGCACTTTCAGAACTTGGCAACTATATGTAGTTCTGTCAGCAAAGGCCATTTGCTTTGCAGGATACATAAACACAGGAAACCTGGACCTCGAAGAACTTAGGAGACACTAATGAAGTTCCCCTATGCACCATATTGTACAAATGGTGATTTCTCCATTTGCTCTGCTGTTGAGACCTCTCTTTATGAGTTAAAGAACAGCTTTACTTTTCATGACTGAATATTTTCATTTAGAAAAATGATTTAGTCAGGACCAACAACATGATTCAGGCTGCTTCATCTACTTAAGACTCAGCCAAAGCATAAGTCCTATCATTTTTAGCACTTTAGCCAGAGGAGGGATTCTTTTCTACATGAGATACTGCCTTGTTTTCAAATTTTATTTGGCACATGGACAAAAAAACACTGATACATGTGTGTAGTGAAATGCTTTTTTCACCGGCTCCCTGTTTTGTGCTGAGAAAAAAAAAAAACGCAATACAAAATAAATTGTATAAAAAGATAAGTAAAATTATAAGAAAAATAACAATAAAAATAAAACTGTAAAAAAGACTAACAAAATTATTAAACAGTTATATTAGTAACTGTCTTACCTACTTAAAGCAACAATCTGGAAAATGGAAAATGAAAAGTGAAGAATAACATAAAGTGGCATGTCAGTTATCAGGAGCCTTTTAGTATCAGTGCTTCCCCTACCATTATATTAGGGGGGCGTCCCGCGCCCCAACGGCACCTCCCGCCCCCCGTTGAAGGTCAAGTTAATTTCATTAAATTGTATTTTCTATATAGCGCCAGATCACAACAGAAGTAATTTAAGTTAACCTTTCCTATAGAACAGGTATAACAAGCTTAATAGCCTTATGATATTTATCTTATTTACACAACAGCTTGTCATTTTTGTCTCTACACGGTCGCGCGTTTACAATTCTCCTCTACTCTCTGTATCGCGCACACACAGGTGAACACACTCCCACCAGCGTACACAGAGCGCGCGTCGGAAAATGTGTCGCGCCAACCGCCTGCGTTTTTTTGACTGCTGTCATTAAAAGAAACACATGAACACCATGAATCCTGTCGGTGTCTGTCTGCTTCCCCCCTCTCCCCAAAGCTGTAAACCTAGGGGAAACACTGAGTATATTAGCCGTCATTTAGTTCACGGACAGCCTGACGGTAGAAACTCTCACTATTGGGGTAAAGCTTCCCTGAGCATGTCAGGGGGACAAGGCTGTTTTTTTTTTATTTTTTATTTTTTTTATTAATCTTTCATTACGTTCCTAGCTCTGTCCCTGCACCGCCTCCTGCAGGTAACCAGCAGGTTAGGGAGAAGGTCACCTACAGGAGGCTTTCCCGCTAAAGTTCTCATAAAAAGGCATCTGATGTTACAGACAACTAGCTGTGTATATCTCTCCATCTCAGAAGATATGCTTGGCTTGCGATGTAATACAAAAAAGGGTCACAAATGTATCCCACTGAGACCATCTGAGACTCTGCATCTGACTCTAAGAAGTTGACCACAAGATCTCAACTACAGTAATAGCGATGTCACACGTATATTCATTTTTTGGTAGCTTTTTTTTTTGGTTTTTGGTTAATTTTCTTTTAAATTTAAGTCTAATTGTTTTATTATTATTATTATTATTATTATTATTATTATTATATAATACTAGCCACTTGAACTGTATTTCCAGTTGAAAGCGGCTTTTCGTTACACCCCTGGAGAAAACAATAATGCATAGAAGCATTTAATTAGAATATTTAATTATTTAATGAATGAATGAATTTTTTTTTTCTTATACCATCAGTTCCAAAAATCATCACTGAATACCACAAAAAATATAAAATTTCATGTACCTAAGGTAAGCAAACATCCCTCAACAATAGTTAACCATAGGGTAATTCTTTATACAGACCTCAGTGTGTTGAATTCTAGTTTATGCACAGTATAACCAGAGAGGCAGAAAGTGCAAAACAATAATAAACTCGTAATAAAACCTTTCAAATTCTTGCCTCTGCAAAAGTCACAAGCCTTAAACTTTTACAATGACAAGTCATTGCATCCAGTTGGATTAATGATGCTGAGTAGTTGTCAGAGAACATTTTTCAGTACTTTCAGTAAAGAATGTAAATAACATTCAATAACAATTACCATTTGCAGCATGTTTATTAACCTTGCCGTGGGACTTGAAGCCTTTCAAAGGTCATGCCAATTTCGGGCAACTTCAGTTAGGTGCTGTTTAACCGAAGCATTATATCTGTCATGTCACCTAGCGGCATATCAGTAAGTAATGTGTCTTTATACACTTTATGTGTCACCCCTAAATCATTAGACCTGTGTCTCCAGAAGATTGGCCCTATTATACTCAGATAACAGCAACAAGAGCAGTTCACTATCTAACTCTGGCTCCCTGAACACTTGGTACCCTTGATAAAATGGCTGCCTTTAACGCTGTCAGGTTAGCAGAGGCTTCCAAAGCGTATCCCACACCCTCTCATGTTGTCATATAAAATATGATTAGTGCATTTGAAAGGATTATGGGAGGACGCTTGTCTGCGTGTGCGACCGAATGAACGTAATTACGGACAGCTACCACTGAGATTTTGCCAGCGGCTACATGTGCCCCATATGAGCGAAATAACGAGGGTGTTTGTGAACAGCAGAATGATGAGTCTGCCAGAGTCGTACCAGGCTGATGAGCTGTGAGAGAGTCATTCCCACTCTCACCATCACCTTCTCCTCCCAGTGCCGTGCAGGCCGCACTTTCAGGTTGTAGTCCTTGAAGATCTTCTGCAGTAAGAGCTTCTCTGTTTCTGAAGCAGCTAGAGAGCAAAACAAGGGTGTGAAGAGGCCATCACAAGTGTTATGGGATAAGTAAGGACATTATAGCACCCATAAGAAATAGAACCAAATGAAGACTTTAGCTAATGGTATGCGTTTCTGAATCTGTATCTAAAAACAACCGTTCAAACACCACAGTATTGGCATCGGAATATAGTGAAAATCAACGGCTTTATAACTCATTAGGTTACTAGAATTTGTTTCAGCTTTCATTATTTTCAATTATTTATTGATTACATGTTTTGTTTTAGCAGGCATAATAGCTAGAGGCCAGTAGAAAGGAACGGAATCAAAATATCTGACTAGACTGCAGACCTGCAGCTGCTTCATCACACGTACTTGGAAGGCTGTCGGCATGTAATTAATGGACAGTGAAACACAAAACGTGAAAATGCAGAACGGAAATCTCCCTAAATCAAGTCGCATGGGTAGAAAAAAACCCCAAAACATGACATGGTGCAGAATAAAGCCTTTTCTGCACTGAAGAGGCCCAATACCAACTGCCATCTGTGTCCTGGATGCAATGATGTCCCTAATGCAATGATGACTGAGGGAACATGAAAAAGCTGAACAGTGCAGCCTGATGTATTTAGCAGGAAATAAAACACAACAGCGATAGTGTCCCCAGGATGGGGGAGGAAAAAGGAAAAGGGAAGGTTAGAGAGACAGGGAGGAATGAATGAACGTTTAACCAGGCCTTTCACGTCTCCTCATTTTTCTCATTCTTCCTAGTTCTCCTTCTATTCCAGTTATCCATCAGCTCATTTTCTTAAAGCTCTAACCCCCCCCCCCTCCCATTACTGTGATATCATCGCAGTCAGGTTTTCCCCGAAGTTTACCTCTTTTTTTCTAGAGGGCATCATGCATCATGGCCCAATTCTGACTTCCACTGTTCCCAGTACCCAAGTACATGGAAACACAGTCCCAGGGGTGGGATTGTGGTTGAGCAACATGACTGCAGGGTCACAAGCTCAATTCCACCGTCCCAAACTTGTATTTAACCTTCAAGTCCTCATGTGACACCTTTGATCAGAGAGTTCTGGTTTTGAAAGAGACTTCCTGAAAACAGTCATGTCCTCCTAACTCTGTTTCAATGATCATGATGCAACGAGACACATCAGGCTTGTTGAAAACCCGTCACTAGTGGTTATCGAATCAGTCATTGTCTCTCTGCTTACGAGTAACTGCAATCCAAGCCTCACTTGGCTCTTCTGACCTGACACAACTTCTCTACACATTGTCTCTACTTCCTCTTTCAAACATACATACACAGTGGTCTGGCAGACTATCCTACCTGAAAGACTGAGCAGACAGCAGCTCCATACAGTCCACAGGAGAACGGTCACCATCTTTCTCATCATTGGGGCAGGCAGAAGGCGTCCAAAAGGGGCCATGCATGTGGTCACGTCCCAGCTGGCAGCTCTATCAACTGCGTCTCTCGCAACAGACACTTCCACTGGCAGGCTTCGGTCTTTGTGCAGCTATTCCAACCTTTTACCCGAAACGGAACGGAGAAGGCCCTCCTTTGTTCACGTATGTTTGTATGGGCATCCTGTATTCTAAAATGTCCCCTCCTGATTGGCCAGGTGCTGTGAGTGACAGCTGGGTGGAATGCGTTTCATCTTCTGAGTCTCCAGCAGGCACCTGTTGGTGTTTGCACTGGAGAGGGAGGGGATACGTGTATAAGGACTAGGGGGGCAGCAAGGGCTATGGGTGCATGACAATGGGTGATATTTTTGGGACAACAAAGGGAGAGTGGTTCAGATGACCAGTACCCTAGAGGAGGGGGGAAACTCTAGTAGAGACCTTGGCAAAGCAGGCCTCTAGGTTAGGTCGATCAGCTTTCATGCGTATCCAAATGCCATCAACATCTTATCTCCATCTCCTCTGTCCATCCTGGTCAGTGTCTGTCTCTGTGTTTCCACAGCACGACAGGCATTTCCAGGCGAGACAAAGACTGGAAACAAGGCCTACGACGATTAACATAAGGAGACATGTTCCATTGGCATACGCTACATGGAGTCGACAGAGTAATAGAAGCATTCCAGCGGCTAGGTCATCCTGTATCAGTGGGCTTAAAGAAACATACAATACAAAATGATTCTCCCCTTGCTGATCATTTGTGAAATTTGATCTTAGCTAGCAAACTGGCAAAAGTACAAATAGCATTTAAAAAAAGGGGAAAAGGGATCATTAGCACTGTAAACGTGACTCGAAGCTGCTCGTTGCATCCTGTTCCAAATATAAGCATGATATAAATTATATCTCAGCCCACGGTGTCCCCAGTCTCTGCCAGTCTTTGGCAAGGTGGGAACACATTCATTTCAGCTGATTAGATAAAAAAGAAGAATAGACTCACTGTCCATCCCCCATTTCCTCTACCTCTACCAGCTAGGCTTCAGAGAAGCAGGGAGAAACAGGCACCATTATTGGGGAGGCATGGCGGCCCAGCCTGTCCAGTGGATAAATATAGGGGTGGCAGGCGACCGATAAAAGGGCAAGCGGTCCGTAACAGCACAGGGGTGGCACCAGGAGCAGCACGTGAAGGGCTGCCAGCTGCTCTCCTCTGCCCCCAGATCTTTATTAAAGTGAAGCTGAATGAGACAGGTGTCAGGGGCTGTGTGTGCGTGTGCAGCGTGAAGGGGCAGGCAGCCTGAGTGAGGAGTCAGATCCTTAGGAGTGGTTTTTAAGATGAAATTCTGTGGTATGTTTGTGCAGCTCAGAAGACACGTTCGATACTGTTGCACACATGCACACAGAGGAATACAAAGCATTCGCTCCAAATATCCCCTTAAGACGGAACTGCAAGTAAGCAGGTCATCACCAAAACCAACGCGCGCGTGTGTGTGTGTGTGTGTGTGTGTGTGTGTGTGTATACACCACATTCTAAATTATTATGCAAATTGTATTTAAGTGTCATAAAGATAAAATATTTTGTTTTTCAATTAAATTCATGGATGGTATTGTGTCTCAGGGCTCTTTGGATCGCTGAAATCAATCTTGGACACCTGTGATAATTAGTTTTCCAGGTGAGCCCAATTAAAGGAAAAACTACTGAAGAAGGACGTTCCACATTATTAAGCCGACCAACATTTTCAAACAATATGGGAAAGAAAAAGGATCTCTCTGCTGCCAAAAAGCGTGAAATAGTTGAATGCTTTTGACAAGGAATGAAAACCTTAGATATTTCACAAAAACTTAAGCGTGATCATTGTACTGTTAAGAGATTCGTGGCCGAGTCAGAGCACACATTGGTTTGTGCAGATAAAGGCACAATGAGGAAGGTTTCTGCTAGACAAATACATCGGATTAAGAAAGCAGCTGCTGAAATGCCATTACAAAGCAGCAAACAGGTATTTCAAGCTGCTGGTGCCTCTGGAGTCCCGCGAACGTCAAGGTGTAGGATCCTCCAGAGGCTTGCAGTTACAGTATGCATAAACCTTCTATCTGGCCACCAGCCAGCAGAAACGGCAGCAGTGGGCCCAGAACTACATGAAGACTAATATTCAAACAGCCTTGTTCACTGATGAGTGCCGTGCAACCCTGGATGGTCCAGATGGATGGAGTGGTGGATGGTTGGTGGACGGCCACCATGTCCCAACAAGGCTGCGACGTCAGCAAGGAGGAGGCGGAGTCATGTTTAGGGCCAGAATCATGGGGAGAGAGCTGGTCGGCCCCTTTAGGGTCTCTGAAGGTGTGACAATGACCTCTGAGAAGTATATGGAGTTTCTGACTGACCACTATCCATGGTACAAAAAGAAGAAACGTACTTTCCGTAACAAAGTCATCTTCATACATGACAATGGATCTTATGCTGCAAGAAATACCTTTGCATCATTGGCTACTATGGGCATAAAAGGAGAGAAACTCATGGTGTAGCCCCCAGCCTACCCTGACCTCAGTCCTACTGAGAACCTTTGGATCATCCTCAAGCAAAAGGTCTATGAGGGTGGGAGGCAGTTTACATCCAAACAGCAGCTCTGGGAGGCTATTCTGACATCCTGCAAAGAAATCAATGGATGCAAGAATTGTGAAGCTGTTATCAAATAAGGGGTCCTATGTTAAAATGTAACTTGACCTGTTAAGATGTTTTTGAGTGAAATAGCTTTTGATTTCAGTAAACATGACCTCCTAATGCAGCAAATTCAACAAATGACCACTTTACAACCTATAAAATGTTTTGAAACGCTGTTGTGCGTAATAATTTGGAACAGTGCATTTTAAGTTTTTTTGTTTTTGAAAAACATACTGTTATCATTGGGAGGTTTGTTCAGTAACATTCGAATTATACTCTAATGGTCGATGACTCGAAAATTATGCTAACTGTCATTTGCATCGACTATTTAGGAAAATCATAGAAGAATATCATTTGCATAATAATTTGGAACACAGTGTAATTAGATATATATAAATAAATCCTGGGATTAACTAAAGGGATTTACCCAAAATATACAGAAGAGCATCCCCCTGGCATCTCATTGACCAGGTTCGATATTTATTCCATGAATTAAAATATGGAAAAAACCACAATACTTGCATTTTATGGCTTGGAGAGTGCTTGTATTAACATATTTAATCCTTGTGTTTAACTAACCAGATTTTAAATCCATGCGTACTCCTAATTTAACATCTGCCATCTGCTGTGACATTCATACTTTCAGACTCTCACACTTATGCAAGAAATGCTACTGCAAATCTATATTATTCCATTATAAACCCAAGCTGCATCAAAAGCGCTGGGGTAGTTTGCAAACCCTACAGACTATTTACAAAGTAATAAAACTGTTATATACCGGTAAATGTGTGTGCATACTTGTCTCGCATAGAATATCTCACTCTTGCAAGCTGACCAAAACTGGCGACCTGGCTGTTATTTATTATTTGCTAACAGTAAGCTTTAAATCCTAAAAAAGGACAAAAATTGTTCAGCTAATTCCGTTTTAAACAGCCACACCGTGACTGTAGTTTAGTCAGTAGCGTGCGTCTGCATTTTTGCTGTAACAGGCCTGTGTGCTGCTCGGTGAACCTGAAATACATACATTCAGCATTGCACAGGACTGCACTATAAACAGAAAAAGTTTCTTATCATAGTAAGTACAAAACACAACCGCCCATTTGTACGTCATCTCTTGAAAAAAACGTTACCAGTAGATTAAAAATTAAGATCCGTTTATGACAAGATATTTCAATTAGCAGTATAAGACTTTTCACGAAAAATTAAAAACACTTAATATATAAGTCCATGCCTAGTTTTATATATAGGCCTATATGCCATTGCAACTCCCTAAATTAGCTTATTTATTTGATATGTAATTTTATTTCTTTATTTGTTTTGAAAAAGGGATAAATAATAAAAAAATCCCTAAAACGGTCACAAACTAGATACAATACAATACAAAGAAAATATCTTAGTAACGAACGTGTTTTTATATTCGAAGGTGAAATTATGCAGTTACATGTGGTCCACTGCTGCATGACGATATCGCACTGGCTGTCGACCGGCAAAATCAGGTTTACATGTGGACATTTGTCGGTCACCTGCCCCTCGGACATCAGAAGGGAAATACAAAGATAATGACTAATTAGATTATAAAATTAGATTACCTTGGCTTTTATTGGTTACACTGGGAGGGAGTCCCGGGTTAAGGTTCCGGCATTTGTGTGGCCGGGTACTCATCCAGCAAAGTCGCGGCTTCCCATCACTGCGAGTCGGAGGACGGATCACACGGACATCGCTGCGGCGAGGCTACAGCTCACAAAACGAAACGAAAAGGGTACTCGATCCTCCCTCGTTGGCAAAACATAACAAATGCATCTGATTGCCAAACTGATTAAAAAGTCACATTAAAAATGCAAATAACCGTCCTCTTCAAGTGACGCTTCAGTGTTAGGAAGATTGTTGTATTCAACCGCATGAAACTATAATTCATGTAATAAAATATTAAAATAATTTTGTCATTGTTAAAGGAAGTATACGTCGTATTAGGCAGACGCATATCACAATATGAATGAAGATAAACATTAATTTAATGAGCTATAGCGCAAGTTCATCTTAAATTAGCTAAAGGTGTTACGCATAGTGTTCATGGGCGTCGTTAGGTCCGATCACTTGGCTATAGCCCCGAGTATTTTAAGTCAATCAATCAAAAAAAAGGGGTAAAATTGATTTAACCCCTGATCTTTTCAATAGCTAAAAACTCCCCTGGCTGTGCTACAGTTTAAAAAGAAGATTATCTTGTCTATGAGATAGACTATAAACATGAAAACAAAATTATATTAAACATTTAGCTGTTTTTAGATTATAGACATGGTTCTAGACAGAAAATATCTAGGTCAGATTCCCCCACTAAAATGCAGGGTTAGGGGGAACTTAGTGATAAATTTGTACCAAAGGTTTTAAGTATATAGATAAATTGCAAAAGTAAAGAGAAAACAATTTACACACTTAAGAAAGATAATCTCTGGTAAGGGAGCAAGGAGCAAGATACATCACTGAAGTTAACATCTGTACACCTGGTTTAAGTTTGAAGCAAAGAAAAGGTGTTAATGCAAAACTCAGCTGGATCCTTTTGGAGTAAATGCTAAGTGTTATTTTAGTGCCGCCCACTGCACAGCACAGTGCCCCTGACGTACAAAACACATCACATTACACAAAACACAAAAAAAATAAAAGAAATGGAACCAATGGCCCTTGGTCTCATTGACTTTGTGGGGGCAGCGTGCAGCTCAAGGGTTATAACACGTGCCATGATCGTAAAAGTCCCCAATTTGAATCCCAGGGCCAGGACACTGATGCTGCCATTGGACCCCTGAGCAACGCCCTTCACCTCCAGCTCAAGGGGTGCCGCAAGCTGGCTGAGCTTGTGCTGTGACTCCATAGCTTGCTTTTACATGGATTGTGTCTGTGTGTCTCATGGAGAGCAAGACGGGGTAGGTGAAAAAAAAATATCCCCCAGGAATCAATAAAGGATCACATCTTTATTAATGGGTCGACTTAAGAAATTCAGCATGGGGTCAAATAATTATTTCCCTCACTGTAGATCTTGATTGCTTCATTTCAAAGCAATTGTGGTGGTGTACATAGCCAAGATTATTAAAATTGTGTCACTGTCCAAATATTTTGTACCTAACTGTATTTTCATATCTGAAGAAATATATTCATGCCATGTTCTATCTTTTTGTGTACACAGAGACACTCACATAGATATACACTTATATTGTTTTATATTATATAGATTTTTTGCATGAAAAATGATGCTGTAGTGTTCATTTTCTAGGAATATGGAACAGTCGACTACTCATGGACTCACTTAACCCTGGGGATTATTCTGCCCTTTCTGTAGGTTAAGCTCTAACTATAAATTCAGGGATGCATGTCATTCTCTTGCCATGTAACAGCGCAACCTACTGGGCTTTGACTCAGGAACACTGACGACATATTTCTGTTCTGGTTTCATCTCTGACCTTGGTCTTGGGTGCTCCATCCATCCAGTTGCTTCGGGTGGGTCTTGAGGGGCCTCCTCTTCAATTGTCATGGATGCTGGCATGTTGGTATCAAGGGCAGTTGTTGATGCTCAGATCTGCACATCTTTGAAAAAGTTACACAAGCCTCCAAGCCATAGCAGCCATTGTTTAAACTTTATACTGTAGGGCAGTGGTCCGGTTTGTGTAATTATTCAGGCAGGTATTCACTTTGGATCCATGGCATAATTGTGAGCAAAAACACTGACCCCAGGTTGGAATGCTCTACCTTTGGCCTTAGGAGCTCCTGTCTCTACTTGACCTTGCTGTTGTCCTTGATTGCCTTGACACCAGTTTTTGTAGGTGGTTCATGGTAAACATAAGGGAAGTTGGGGCGGTGATGCACACAAGTGGTTTGAAAGAAAGAAGAAAACTCTTGCAACAGGGCTTTGAACCTGTTATTACTGACCAGTTGCTCTAGGTAGCCGAAGTAGCTAAATAGCTCTTGCAGCTTTTTGATGGCCTTTACCGTGCGCATCAACTACAACAATCTCCAGACAGGCCAACAAGGTCTATATGCACACAATGACAGGAACACTCTGGCCAATCTCATGAGTGTAAGGCTGCAGGTTGCAGCACATTTCTGATTCTTTGGCACAAAGTGCATGATTTGATTTTCTCTTTAATGTCTCCACCAGAAGAAGTTTGTGTGATCTCCCTCATCCTGACTCTCCCACAGTCACCTGACTGCAGCTGCTGTAGGACAGTGGGATCAACTGTCCCCTGCCCCAGCAACACCCCAACTGAACTGAAACCTCACAGCATCTGTCCAGGTGGGGTTTCAGGTGTGGCGAGTCCATTGCAATATGGCTAGTAGTGAGCATTTCCATAATCTCCACCAGAACTGGGTCGCTACGAGAGTACTTCTGTACCTGCCCAGAAGTCACTTGTAGGCTTGTTTGAATTGTCTTTCTGGTCATGTTAACTGTAAACCACCTAAAGAGGTCATCTGCACTGCTGTGCAGCTCAGACATACGGTACTCAATGTTGTACGAATGGGATGATAGTAGTAGAGCCTACAGCTAACAGCAAGGGAAGCTATGCCAGTATGAGGAAGATTGTGGTTAGATTGCTGTGGTCCGTTAACAACTTGAATCATCTCCCAAAGGGGTACTGATGGAACTTTCTTACCCTAAATACAATTCCTAAAGCCTTTCACTCAATCTGCGCAATAACCACTTTCTGCCGGGTAGAGGGTGCATGCCCAAAGGGCTTCATGTGTGAGATCAAAGTTTCATACACCAAATGTATGGACTAACAGGACTGTCGAAAGGAAGATTGCATTGGAGGCTAAGGATGACATTAAAAGTCTCTTCCAATATTTTAACTCCAAAAGAGCTCTAAAAGCTGAAATCACTAATCTGCAGGATAATAAGCATCTCAGAATTGAAAATTAAATTGATATAGTTAATGAGTTTGATGATTGTTTTTCATATGAACTCACTATAGAGGACACAAGTAACATTTTATTAAACTTTTATTACTAATCCAGCATCATCTATGACTAAAATATGTATAACTGAAGTTGATGTGCTACAAAGCCTAGCTAAGCTCAAAATAAATAAATTGCAGGGCCCTGATGACATCTTACCTATAGTTTTAAAAGAGATGAGGGATATTATTTGCCTACCTTTAACTTTACTATTTCAGAAATCCTTATCTGCTGGTGTCGTACATTCTGATTGGAAGCATGGTAATATAAAAAGAGAATAGAAGTAATCCATCAAACTATAGGCCAATTAGTTTAACTTACATAACTGGAAAAGTAATGGAAGCTATAATCCAAGCAAAAATGGTAGATTACCTGGATCCAAAAAGCATTCTGTGGGATAGTCAACATGGATTTAGGTAAGGTAGATCCTGTTTAACTAATCTACTTGAGTTCTTTGAGGAAGCTACAAGAGAAATTAATCACAAAAAAGCCTACTATGTCATCTACTTAGATTTCCAGAAGGCCTTTGATGTTGTCCCCCAAAAACGGCTCCAGCTTAAGCACAAAGCAGCGGGGGTTTTAGGAACTGTAGCAGATTGGATCGAAAACTGGTTAACAGACAGGAAGCAGCAGGTACAATGTTACAGTGGGCCTGCGCTCATAGTGGGGTACAATTCAATTTTAAGACCACCGTTACTCCTAATTTACATTAAGTATATTGACAACATTATATACAGTAAACTAGTTACATTTGCAGATGACACCAAGGTGGGTGGTGTAGCAGATACTGAACTAGCGGCAGAGAGGATACAGCAGGATCTTGATTTAATAGTGACTGTGCTGATACCTGGCAGATGAAATTTGATGTAGACAAATGTAAGGTAATCTATGCAGGGAGCAGAAATATAAAGTGCATATATTTTATGGGTTCCACTGAAATAAAGGTAGCTGATTATGAGAAAGACCTTGGTGTGTATGTTGATGTTCCATGTTTAGCGTAGGCCTGCAAGAATGATTCCTGGTCTTAGAGGAATGTCTTATGAGGAGAGGTTAGCTGAGCTGAATCTGTTCAGCCTTGAGCAAAGGAGACTAAGGGGGGACATGATCCAGGTATATAAGATTCTAACAGGTCTGGATAATGTACAGCTAAATAGAGATACCAGATAGAGATACTAGGGTTCTAGACAAATACTAGAACTCATGGCCATAGGTGGAAATTAGCAGGAGAACATTTAAAACTGGATTTGAGAAAGCACTTCTTTACACAGCGTGTAGTTAGAGTATGGAATAGTCTTCCTGCTAGTGTAGCGGAAGCTAAAACCCTGGGTTCATTTAAATCAGAGCTAGAAATGATTTGAACAACTTTGAGCTGTAAGTTGAATTCTCCTCAGATGAGCTTGATAGGCCAATTGGCCTCCTCTCATTTGTAATTTTTTTTTTTGTTCTTATGACAATGCAGAGTCAAACTACATCAATATCTCTGACTACAGCAAGGCTTGTTTGGCATTTTCAAATGCTGTGTGGCATTAGTCAGTCCATTTTAACTTCTTGTCTTGATGAAGCAGTTGGTGTTGGAATTTTAGACTGTAGGTAAAGCTCTGTTGAATCAGCCATAGTAGTTCAGTAGCCTTAAGAATGATTGGAGCTGACTGACATTCTGAGGTGCAGGGGCATCTGCGACAGCCTTCACCTGTGACAGGGCCTTGTGGAGGCCATTGGCATGCCCTAGATACTCCACTGACTGTTTGGAATACTGACAGATGTCTCTGTGGACTCTTAGGCCAAAATCTCTGGGATGCTGTAGTGTACTATCCAGATTGTTTAGTTGGTCACACTAAATCTGATCATGTTTTGGTGAGCTTCGGTACACATTGTCAGAGACGATAGAAACTGTGGCCCCATTGTCGATGTCCTTTATAACTGGCTGTCCTAGGCGTGGTGTGACCCAGTAGCACTTTGAATTTCCATTTAGTGCTAGAATACGCAAAGTCATGTCCTCTGCTGACGAATCTCAGCCATCTGTTTTAGGAGTTGCATTTGAGTGGATAGCATGCACAGCATTTCTTTTCTTGGAAACTTTGAGAGCTGTGCTGTGTTTCTGTTTTGGGAAACGTTCTTCTTTCCTTTGCACGCTCGATGTG